CCGAATAATATTTGACTTTAAATTTAATGGACTGTCTTTGTCACTTAGATTATAACCATCATGTAAATAAAAAGCCAAATAAAGAGCATTATACGGATGCTTTTTTAATGATAAACCTTTGATTGTATCTACTTTTCCAAATGCTGAATTTTCAAACTTCATAAGAGTTATATGAGCCACATGTAATCCACATGGAATTCGAAAAGATATTAAATATGAAATATTATTAAATCGAGCAATCGCTCCACTAGCTTTTGATGCCATATATGCAGTATTGTCCGTTAACCAGAAATGACAATTTTTTGGATCAATTAAAGTTTCATTACAAATTTGTAAAACTTCTGAAGAAATTGTACTAGCATTACAGCGTAAAATATTTTTTAATTTAACAACAGTAATAGTTGGACAATTTTTTATCGAATTCTAGTATGAAAAACAAACTATTAATAATTTTTTTTCACCTCGAGTACTTTCATCAGCTATTATTTCAAACCCGAAGAATTGTGATACATTTTGATTAGGCTGATTTTCATAAAATGATAGTGCTGCAATTTCTTTATTCCATTTTGCGATTGTACTTGAGCAAACCCAATGTGTTGGTGTATGTCTTGTTAAAAATTCATAAACAGCCTTTGTACAATCAACTGTAGCCTGAATAGAAGTAACTCCCATATTGCTAATTTCAGTTGTCAATTTCATAAAACTAGCAGTATATTCTTTCTTATTTATTTTAAATAATTTTTTCGTTGCACGGCAGAGCTGATTAGGTTGAACTTGTTTTGTATTTTGGATAGCCGCACGAATTTTGGAAGTATATCTTCTTTTTGCATCTCTTGCACGTATAACTTGTATTGAAAGTGATCGAATATGAGAAATTAAATTGATTTTATTTTTTTTTAAAAAGAGAAATCTCTTTTTCAAGCTCCTTAATTTTAGCTGTCATAGCCTGTATAGAGGTATCTTTCTTGTATAATCCAGTATTAAGAAACTCCACGGCTTTTAATTGAAGATAAGGAGAAAAAATTTCTCCTTTCTGATTGCCTTGCGAATACACCATTATTTGGAATAAATGAAATGCTTTAGAAACTTGATTCACAGGTAAATTTTGAATTTTATTAATTAACTCATTTCGCTTTTATTCACTTTCTTCATTAACATTACATATTTTTTTGATCTGTTCAATCATTGTAGTAAATTCACTATCATTTAAGTCATTAAAATCTTTGACTATTTGCTCAATAGATTGGCAACGATAACTTTGAATTTTATTTAGAGTTATGCTTTTAAAAAAGTTTCGCTTTTTGCGCATGTTTTTTAAATGTTTTTGTTGTTTTCCAATTCGAGCTATTTTAAAATAACTTAAAAAAATTTTTGATTAATATTTTGATTATATACTATTGTACTATTCATTATAAGCATTGCATCACTCAAATATCAATTAATAGAGTTATTAAATACTTTTGTTAAAAGTATTATAAAATTTTTTTTATAATTTCTATATGCAGTATAATAATAAAAACAATTAAATATTTAAAATATGCGGTTATTACTTAATAGAGACACTCTTAAAGAGTAAATAACAACTTGCAGAATTAAAAAAAAATTAATATATCGGAAGTTATTAAAGTTTGCGCGAAGGCATTTTTTATTAATAATTTAATATAATTCGAAATTTTCGAAAAATCAATTAAAAAAATCTTCAATAATGATTTTTACTATATATCTTGCCATATGTTTGTGATTAAACTGATTGTTGACACTCCATTCAGCAATGTAAGCTACCTTAATAACAAAAAAAAAAAAAAAAAATTATAAATATAAGGCTATATAAAAAAATTTTTTTAGTTTTTATAATAGAGAAAAAAAATTTTGACCTGGCAATCTGGTTTTTTTTTTTATATATATAAATTTTTTTTATATCTAATATGCATATTTAAAACAAGAAAAATATATATTTAACATAAATTTGATAATAGAAAATATTTATATTTGCTATAACAATGCTCTAGTTAGTATTATTACTATAGCTACTACAGTTACTATAACAGTATATAATAAAGTTTTAATATAATCATATAAAAATTTTATCAGTTTTTAACCTTTGAACCTTTATAAATATGCTAATATGATTAATCTGAACTTGTTTTAGCAAACTAATTATATAAACCAAATACAAAAATAGAACTTCAAATCTAAACTATATAATAAAGTGTGTTAAATCTGACTTTATATAATTATTATTGCTTAGTTAAATGACTTTATTAAAAACAAATAAAGAACATATAGGAATTTCGCTCTAGGCTTTATATTTATAATAAAATATATTTAAACACTAAAATAATTGATCTAAATCTAACAAACTAATATATTCATAGCTTTAAAGTTGCTATTGTATTAATTAATCTGTCATAATCCTCTTACTAATAACTAAAATATCTAAAAATCCTAATTATGCTATAAAAAATAATCTGTAATATGCAAGCAAAAAAGGTTTTAAGAAGAGATTCCATAGCAACAATAGAATCATGATATAGTAGAAGTCATTCATTTAAAAAGGAAAATTATACTCTATATTATTGCCTTTGCAGAACTTAATTATCACTAAGTCAAAAGTTTTAGCACTGCTAATGTAGCAATAGAATCTACTTACCACTATAAGTTCTTGTTTGCTATAGTAACCACTAAGCTTCATACTACTTATTGGTATCTCTTAATTTATCAAACTAGAGCTATAGTACTCTTTATGATTACTAGATCACTGCACAAGAGATGAAGATAGAGCTAGCTTTCATTACAAAGCAAGCGATAGTGAAAGAAAGATAAACTTCCTATACAACCCAACTTAACAAACCTCAAATACTATATCTTTATTATAGTTGCTGGTAAAACTAATGACTATTTAAATCTAATTGCTTATTTACTATATTAGCTCATCAGATTATAGATAGTCACCAGTTTTACTAGCAACTCTAATCTCTAACTAATTATAACAATTACCTTTACTTTTCAACAATCAGTTCTAAACTCATAACACTTCACCAAAATAATAAATTATATACAATCAATAACAATAACTAGAATTTACTTGCATCTAAGAATTTATTACTAGTAGTTAAACAACAGAGTATACATGTAATCCTGTAGAGCTGCAATAATAATTGTCTCATCAATTCATATTAGATTTTCAGTTAACTGTTTACATAAAGCAAAGATTCATATATTACTAACTATATTATTTATTTATAAAATTGCACTTATCTAGTTAAAGTTTAATAAAATATAACATATATAAACAAAATTCAAACAATACATAGTACTTAGTCAATAATCATTGTTTCTACTTATAGTATATAAAAATAGAAAACTTCAAAAAAGAAATTATAGCAATTTCTTTTTGAATTCATTCATGTGTATAAATATGCATAAATACATATAATTAACAGGTAAAAAAAGTATTCTAAAATTTTCAAGTTTGTTTAGCTCTTGATTTTTCTATTAAAGTCAAATTCTTCTCACAATTCTGCGGTTTCAGCTAATATGATATTTGCTTTTTTAAAATTATGAATTTTTAAGAAATTTCATATTTCCTAGATAAATACATATCAGTTAAAGTATAGCACTACATATATTATCTTCTTGAAAGAGTATCAGGATACTATTCAATTATAAACTAATATTTTTTAAAAGTATCTAGTACTAACTAAGTGCTAATTATATTAGAAAGGTTTTTGATAATTATTATGTATATACTCAACTGACAAATATTATCATAAAGTTAAACTGCTTTCTAAAAAAAAAAAAAAATATTGATTGTCTCAATCTGTCTATAAATTGATCTTTTGATAATAACAAAAAGTTCCTTACAAAATTATACTTATTGCTACTTCTAGTTTTAACTAAATTAATATATTTAAAAGATGTATATATAAGAAAATTAGTAAGTGCATTTACTTGTTCTTGTTCTAATATTATAACACAAATCTGATATATATTATATTCATAACCTAAATCAACTCACATTCCTTATAATATCTCTTGTATAGTACTTCTAAGAATATTATTTAATTTATCTTAGCTTTTTTAAAAAAAATAATGAAATACTATATATGGTATTATACAATAGAGAATATGATATTGTTGCACATTCATATTCTGCATATTATCACTGTTTTATAACTCTCAATAATTAACAAAAATAGTTATATAAGTTTAAAAACAACTAAACAAATAGATTTGTATAATACTTATTTGAAAATAAAGAAGTATTCATATATTTAAGATATCATAAATTTTTTTGAATATAAATCTATTCAAT